TCACTATCCACAACCACCATTATGGAATCCTTGCTTCGTTGAGTTCGGGGCAGCCTGGTAATGAAATCCAGGCTAACATCTTCCCACGGGGCGTACGGGACGGGTAAGGGTAAGTGCATTCCTTGGGGTAAGGCTTGGGACTTTGCAAGTTGACAAGTGTGACAACTCTTGATGAAGTGCTCAACGTCTCTCTCCATTTTGGGCCAGAAGTAATGCTCTTTCATCATCAAATAAGTCTTGTTGTTCCCGAAATGACCGGCTAGTCCACCACCATGGACCTCGTCTATCAGGGTTTCACGAACGCTGCTTCTCGGGATGCACAGTTGATTACCACGAAAGAGGTAACCATCTTTGATTAGGTAATCTCCCTGGGGCCGAGATAAGCATTGGGCATACATCTCCTTGAAATCTTCATCATCCTTGTAGAGTTCCTGCAAAAATTCAAAACCAAGAAGTTTGGTACTAAGTACCGTTAGTAATAAGTGTCTCTGGGACAACGCATCCGCGCCTTTGTTCATGGACCCGTTCTTGTGCCTGATGGTGAATGTAAAGGTTTGAATGTATTCAACCCATTTAGCATGACAGGGTCGAATCTGCTTAGGGGTCCAGCAGAATTTAGTGAAAGGGTGGATGGGGTTTTTCTCTCTCAGTGAATTCTTTGCCTTCTTCATGCTAAAACCAGCATCATTGTTATTCCACCAAAGTCTCCCAAAATCATCTATATGGAACAGACTTTGCGCAATGTCATTGGCTTTGTGAAGTCTTTTCCAATAGATAGAGTCTATGATTTTGGGGGCAGTGTCAAGACCTCTAGGGTATCTGGCCCTCATGAACTTTGCCCACAATGAATCATTTTGAGTATAGGTCCACCACATTTTGAGTCCATAAGCTTCTTGAATAGTGGTGAGATCAGTCAGGCCTAAGCCACCCTCCTCTTTGGGGAAGCAAAGTTTCTCCCAAGTGGCCCAATGATATTTATTTCTACCATCTGCTTTACCCCAAAGAAAATTACTCATCTTTGTATGGAGACTCTTGATGATGCTCTTTGGAAGTTTGCTGCAGCCCAATAAGTATTTCTGTCTATTGATACCTTGATGAATCTGCACACTGATAAGTCCGTTTCGTTCTTATCATTTACATCATATTCTAAATGTTATTGCACGTAAATAATATTTAATCATCTCATAAAATGTGATTTTAATGGATAAAACTCTCATTTTCGTTCTAAGAGTCATAAAATGGGATTCCACATGAAATCATCATAAATCATTCATTTTTGTTCAAGTATTTGAGAAAAAGGGAATAAATCATCAAGGGATCAAGATTCGGACTTGAACGAGCTTCCGGGAGGTCAAAAACAGTGTTCGGGGCTAAAACGGAGCGAAATTGGGCCAAAATCACGAAACAGCCGCGAAGCCCAACGGACCAAGGCCTCCAGGCGTCCAACTTGGACGCTTGGCCAAGTTGGACGC